ACCCTCAATAACTTGAAGACTGGGTCCTCTAACAACTGAGTCATCACTGAAGTCCCAAGACTAACCCATTGTAAAGCAAATAAAAAGAAAAAAAGCTAAATATCTCTTAACACAATTCAAAGATGTTAAATACAAATTTTATGATGGGGGGCACCTGAATATCCAGGAATACATAAATCAGGACACAGACCTAAGATGTCAAGTAGCCATTGAAAATCTTGCTTTGGGGTCTGGTAGGATGGCTTGGCCACCAAGCCTAATGGCTTAACTCCAACACCCATATGGTGACAGGAGAGAACAGTTCCTTGAAGGTATACCATAACCTGTCATTGAGAGTTTGATTGGCTGGATCAGAAAGAACAAACACAAGCTACTTCCCTCCTGAAACAGAGTCCAAAACTCACGTGGCCCTCCTCCATGCCACAGAACTCATCAGGGACACCCCACAACTAACTACTGTGCTGCCACCAATATCTCAGGGACCTCAGGCAGTTGCAGGCCCCATATCCCATAGCAGGCCCCAGGGACTCAGGAATCTACTATAATCAGAAAATGAGAATACTGAATACAGGTGCACAGCCTCTAGAACTTAATCTCACATCCTACTAACCCCTCCACCCCCAAGGTGTCCTCCCTCCCACACTATCCCCTCCCTGGCTGGAAAAAAACAAAACAGCCCATCCCCAGCCCCATTAACCACCATTTCCCCAACTCTATTTGCTGAGAGCTGTGTAATCACCACCAAGAATTAAGATTCCCGGAATTAGTGCCTGAAGGGAAATGTTTGTCAGCTCAAATGGCCCTACACTGCTGTGTTAACTACAGAAGGGCCTTTTCAATTCACTGTTTTATTATTGTCAGGTACCATGTTAGCGTATACAGTCTATCTTATTTAATCCTCAGGATAACTATATCAGATGCCTTTTTCCTTTCTTTCCCAGGCTGGCAACAATCCCCTATATAATTGAGGATGCTCTCGAATGACTGATCCTCCTGCCTCCAGCTCCTGAGTGCTAGGACCACACAGAGCCTCCACACTGTGTATCTGGTGCTGGAGATTAAATTCATACTATCTGAACTACAACCCCCTTTATAGGAAATAGCTCCCTTTCTTTTGTTAAATAAAAGGTCTCTCTATGTCACCCTGTCTAGCCTTAACTCATACCCCCTACCTGAGCTTTCCACAGCTGGGGTTAGCATGTTATTGTTGATACTACCACTTTAACAGTGTGATAACTAGCATTTGGGAAACTTGCCCCAAAGTTTTCTTGCTCCCCAAATCTTGTCTTAATCTCTCCCCCTTCCTACCATACATGGTAGCTATCTATACCTGTAGTCCTAGTACTTCTGACACTGAGGCAAGAAGGGCACCAGTTTGAGGCCAGCCTGGGCTCCATAGCAAGACGCTGTCATCCTCCCCACGGCCATTAAAAGCAAATACATACATGTATACATATGGTTGATCTTCCAATTTTTGTAGTTTTTATAACTTACGCTGCCTTTTTTCCTGTCATTTTTCTTGCTGAACACACACACACACACACACACACACACACACACACACACAAATGGATCTATTAGCTTTCCATTATGTCCCTCTATAATGTGAGACTGACAGACACACAGGACCAGTTCACTATTATTCCATCTGAGCAAAACAAGACCCAGGGGGCTCTCTCTGCTGGGAGTGCAGTCTCCAGCTCTGAAGCCCACTATTTTGGCTGCTGCTCGAGGTTCAGTTTTATCTTTCAGCTTCCTAACTGATCTCCATGCTCCCTGATCTTATCCAGCTCTAATTCATCCCCCACACTCCCACTCCCCCACCCACACCAGAATCAACTACATAAATGTCAAGGGCAGCCAACCGAAACACTCCCTGGCTTCAATCCTGTAGTGGCTCTCTAGAGGATCAGGCCAAGCTCCTTACCCTGGTGACCTATAAGGCCATCTGGTGCTGCCTGCCTCTCCAGTGTCATCCCCTCAGCCCCGGTCCCTCTAGCCACACTAGTACATCACTGTGCATGCCTCTCCTGTCCTCCCCCAGGCCCTAGACACCACTCCCTTATTACCTGGTTAACTTTACCTCAACTCTGAATCACAGCTCATGAGTCACTGTTTCTCCAGGAAACACTCTCTGATGACCTCCCCATGCCCCAGAGGCTTCCTGGGTTTCCCCTGGCCAGGGTGTGTTAAGTTCTAGCACTCGTGGATTTAGCTCCACGTATACTAGCATGATGCTAAAAGATGAAAACCTGGGCTGAGGGTCCAGTTTGATGGTGGAGCACCTGGCTCATATGTGGAAGGCACTGGGCTCTACCCCCGGCCCCACAAAAAAGAAAAGGGAAGAAAGGAAAAGAAAACTATTCCTTTACTAGTTTCACATCCCAAGCATGGCACACAACACATTTTGCATAATGACAGAGTGAATGAATAAACCTCCTTGAACTCAAGCTACATCCACACGAATGAAAACAGCTGCCTGTAGGCAAACATTAATTGGCACCCACTATGTTCCTCCGATATGCTAAGCACTGAGCTATGGACATGAGCAAAATCTCAAGAAGCCATTTGTTAACCCTTGGAGATAGATAACAAAAGCTTTGACTTAAAAGAATCATGTGGCTCTCTAGAGGATCAGGCCAAGCTCCTTACCCTGGTGGCCTAGCATGTGAACATACCAACAACCTGACTTCAGTGGGACTTACATGGTAGAAAAAACAAAAACAAAAACTCCCACTAGCTGTCCTCTGACCTGCACACAGGCACACACATAATGAAATGTACAATGTTTTAAGAAACCAAGAAATAAAAATAAATAAATAAGAAGCCAAGAAGTATCAGGGATGGCAATGCACATCTTTAATCTCAGCACTTAGGAGGCAGAGGCAGGAATGTGAGTTTGGAACCAGATTGGTCTACAAAAGGACCTCAAAGTTGGTACAAGACACCCCAGACCAAGTTCTCAGCTCAAAGGAGGCTTATTTGCCCAGAGAGACAAAGGGCAGGGAATAAGAGATAAAGGCAGGAGAGAGAGGTCCAGAGAGAAGGAAAGAGGAATAGAGAGAGGGGAGAAAAGGGGCAAGGGAGAAAGGAGGGATATTTGCCCCGGGGGACAAAGTACTCTCTGGATAGAGAAAGCTTGGCAGTATTAATACAGGAAAAAGAGGAAACCCTGTGTTGGAATGAGGTGTTTAAGTTAATTAGGGTATATTAAGTTAAATGGGCTTGTTAATTAGTATAGCCAAAGAGGGCTTTTGATTGCTGGACTTCAACATTTTTTGTTTGTTTGTTTGCTTTTGTTGTTTTGCTTTATTTTGCTTTTGAGACAGGGTTTCTCTGTGTAGCTTTGAAGCCTGTCTTGGAACTTGCTCTCTAGACCAGGCTGGCCTCGAAATCACAGAGATCCACCTGCCTCTGCCTCCTGCCTGCACAGCCTGGACCTTGGTGGTCAGCCTCAAGGGGAAGTGGCCAAATAAAGGAATAGTCCTTGGTGGTGCACACCTTTAATCCCAGCACTCCAGAGGCAGAGGTAAGTGGATCTCTGTGAGTTCCTGGACAGCTAGGGGTACAGAGAAACCCTGTCTCGAAAACAAAACAAACAGAAAACCAAAAAAACAGAAAACCAAACAGAAAAACAAAGCAAACCAAAAAAAAAGAAAGCAAACCAAAAAACTGTAATCTAACAGTTTAGCAGGGAAGAGGGAATGGGAGAGAACAATAAAAGCAAAACCTGTCAGCGACATGCTTGCTTTATTCAGGCCTGCTAGAGCCCTTTGGTCTACACAGCGAGTTCCAGATCAACTAAGGTTGCTTAGTGAGAGTTAGTCATGTAACCCAAAGAGAGACAACAAAGCCAAGTGCATCACATCTGGAATTCCATTCTTCCTCATGAAGAAGTAAATTCTACAGGGAGTTTTGTCTCCGCCTTTGTCCTGCCCTGCTGGTAAAGATAGCTCTCCCAGGTGACAGTCAAGAGGGAAACAGCCAAATACAACTCTAGTCTCAGCATGTTATGGGTGCCAGTGGCTGCCGAGCCTTTGCAGATAACCTTGCACCGTGTGCTTGGCATGAATCCCCATGGCAACGTCCACCACAAATATTGCACTAAGGGCCTCATGAATAACACAGCTGGCCTTCCTTAGCTCAGGGGCACAGCTACTGCAGATCAAGTTCAGTCATCCTAGTTCTGCTTCAGGTCAGTCTGACAGAAGCACAGTAAGAGAATGCAAAATTGGGGTCACTGAATTCTGGGTTCTTCTCCCAATTATTCAATTGCACTTCCTTGCTTCTGATGACACACTACCTAGTAGTCATTTAAACTTTAATCCCTTGGATTTCCAAACACTCAAGGAAGTCCCCCATGGAGATGGTTCTGGGAAGCTCCAGAGCCGCACACGTTTCCTCCTGTCCTGGAGGTGCCCTGCTAGAACCCCACATTCCAACAGGATCTCATTTCTCCCTTTCCACCTACGGGAGCCCCTCTCTTCCACACTCAAATCTACTTGAAGCCAAGCCGCTGCTCATGGTGGCGCTGATGGGACACACATCAGTGGCATTATGTTGAGGCCAGTGTGGAACAGAGCCACAGGGAAGTGGCTAGCTTATAAAACAGGTATCGAATGCCACAGATGACACAAACAGAGAAGCTGAGGGGCAAGGGTCATGACTGTGGCTGAGGAAGCAGGCAGAGCTCTGCGGGGAAGCAGATGCTCAGGTGAGACAAGGGAAAGTGAGGTTTGCCCGACTCAGACCCTGGTCTCTTTCTTTCTTTTTAGGGACCATCTCCCCACACTGGAGCTCAGTCTGGTCTCATATTTGTGACAATCCACCTGCTTCAATCTACCAGTTCAGAAACGCTCTAAGAAAGGGGGATGAACACTCCCTCTGGGTCACACAAAACCCTAAAGGCAGGCACCAACACTTTCCCTAAAGGTTGAGAAAACGGAATCACAGACTTTAAGTAAGTTAAAGGCAGTCAGTCATCCAGTCTCACGACTCACTGGTGGTTGGTGGCTCGCGCCTTTAATCCCAGCACTCAGAAGGCAGAGGCAGCCTGCAAGAGCTAGTTCCAGGACAGGCTCCAAAGCTACACAGAGAAACCCTGTCTCGGAAAAAACAAAAAGACAATAACAAAAAAGACTCTTAACTGTCATCTTCCCATAAACCTGTAATACTATTTTCAAAAGAAAAAAACCAGGCATGATGGCCCAACACCTTTAATTGCAGTCCCCAAGGTCTCTGTGAGTTTTCGGCCAGCCTGGCCTATATAGTCAGTCTCAGGACAGCCAGGGCTACAGAGAGAGACCCCACTGTATGAACTCAGAAAATTCAAATCTTAGTTTCTAAAAACCCAAGTCCCAGCAGCAGTGATTCAGCCTGTGCGTTCTCAAAGAGTCCCGGATGAACGTTCCATTTCAATGAGCCGATATGACTGGGACAGTAGCTGCTGTCACACACAAATCACAGCCCCCCAGGCCTGGCGGAAACGGCTTCTTTACTTTGCACAGAACACTGTCTTTTCAGACGCCCAGCATTTCTGTGTGCTGCCACTTTCATTCCCACAGGGACAAAGCTGAGGGATTTGAATCGGCTGTGATCGCTAGCTGCATTTCCTTAGAAGCTACAGGGAGAAGTGACCCAAGAGGTCCGGTGTGCTTGCCTAATCCCCCAAGCAACAGTTCCTTTTATGGGAGTGCCTTGCCAGTCAACAGGGTTCATGAGGACAGATAAGGCACATTCCACTGCCGTGTAAAAATAAGTTCAAGAAAGAAAGGCGGCCAGTAAGACGGTTTAGGGGATGGTTCTCAACCTTCCGAACCCTGTGACCCTTTAATACAGTTCCTGTTGTGGTGACTCCCAACCATAAAATTATTTTCACTGCTACTCCTTAACTGTAATTGTGCTACTGCTATGAATTGTAATGTAAACATCTGTGTTTTCCCATGGTCTTAGCCACAACCCCTGCGGAAGGATCATTCAACCTCCAGAGGGGTCATGACCTACAGGTTGAGAACCACTAGTTTAGGTGGTAAAGGCCCTTGTTGCACTAGCCTGAATTCAAGCTCTCTATCCCCTGGAGGAAGGAAAGAATGTACTCCTCAAAGTTGTTCTGACCCCCACTTGTACATCAGCACCCACTTGTACTCCAAAAAACTTCAGCCAGGTGTGGTGGTGCACACCTTTGATCCCAACACTTGGGAGGCAGAGGCAGGTGGATCTCTGGGGCAGCCTGGTCTACAGATTGAGTTCTAAGACAGCCAGGGATATGTAGGGAGACCCTGTCTCACCTACATGAATATAATCCCCCCCAAAAGAAGATGAAAAGGCCCACTACTGATGTCTGCATTTAGGGAGCAGCATAATGGGCAGGAGAGACAGGAAAAGAAAACACACAGGGCCCCAGAGCGCCTACAGCCCGACATCATTTTAACGTCCTGAGCTATGCTAAAACTCACACACTGCAATTAAAATAGTGTAAGTGAACACAATGCCCACTGCAGTTAAACCTAAAGTGAGTGCCTTCAACAAACCACACTTTACAGCAGCCACAAAATATCCCCTCAGGCTGGGTGAAGCCTCACTCTACAATTTAAAACACTTCCTTCTGCCAGTTTAAAAGAGAGAGAAAGCTTTCGTTTCAGCCTATGAGATTTTGTGCTGAGAAAGGCCCAGTCCACTCCCTGAGGCTTCTTAGAGCCACTGACTCAAACAACCCTTTCGACTGTAAGACTGTAAATAGGCAAAATGTTTTCTAGGCTAAAGGCAAGTTTAAATTTACTTTAAAAAATTTTAAATGAGACCCTATTCATCTGTTGGGGTGACATCAATTAGTCCTTCAAAGAGAACCCCAGGTATTTACTCTCTCCCCGTGTACACACACACACACACACACACACACACACACGTGTGCATAGGCACACAGGGCAACAAGCATACCAGAGTGTGGAGACCAGAGGAAACCACCTCGGGTGGGTGTTCCATCTCAGGTCGACCTGGCCTCCAAGGCTTCAGTCCACCTTGTTGTATGAGACAGTGTCTCTCACAGGCCTGCAGTCCACCCATTCAGTTAGATTGGCTGGCTAATGTGCCCCAGGGATCTTCCTGTCTCCCCATCCTGGGGGATCCAAATGGATGACAAATGTTTGTCAGAATTCCTGGCTTTTTACAAGGGTTCTGGGGATTGAATGCAGGTCTTCATGTGTCCAGGGCAGGTGCCTTACCAACAGAGCTATCATTCCAGTTCCAGCAACTACTCTTTATTGAATGCTGAACACTAACCATAAGCTGTGTTAGGTGTTTAAAACTCACCATCTTACCTGACCCTGATCATCATACTGTCCTTCCCAAGAGCTGTTCAGAGATGTGCAGTGACCTGACTACAATCACACAGCATAAAAGCGGCCAAGTCCAGTCCACTCTACAATTCCAAACCCAAATGCTCCTTAACACACTTTATCATAAATGCTCCACTTGGAGTACTTAATACCTTTTATCATAAATACTCCACTAACACTTCCTCATAAAAACTCCATTTGGTCAAGACTGGATGGTTCACAGAATATTCTCTTGAAACTATCCCAAAACAAATTCATGACATTGCCAAGTGAGAGAAACAACTAGGGTTTACAACCTGGTATTTTGGTTTTCAAGTTGTTTCCGTGTTTTGTTTTAAAAGCATGACACCTTCAAAAACAAATTACTGCTGAGTAACTTCAGTAAAGCTACGTGGTCTACACAGGTGGGGCCCATTGGGCCTCAGTATTTCCATACGGTACTATGGTTAGAAGGATACTTTTACTCAAAAAAAATTTTTTTAAATCCTGCTAGATTAATTTGCCTCTTTCTTCCTGTAACAATCTCCAGGTTTTAGCTGGGGGGAGAGAGTGGGGTTGTGGTACATGCCTTTAATCCCAGGCAGAGGCTGGCAGATCTGTGAGTGTGAGGTCAGCCTGGTCTACAAAGCAAGTTCCAGGACAGCCAGAGCAGTTACACTGAGAAACCATGTCTCAAAACAAACAAACAAACAAACAAACAAAAAAACAAAAAAACTACACAACACAACAACAACAATCTCAAAGTTTTTAGGGAGAGAACACAAGTGAGGCTAGAGTCACCCACCAGCAGGCTATCTGACCCACTCTCCATCAATCCCTCTGCTAAATAGCAGTTTATTTTACTAAATGTTCCACCTACAGAGTTCCAGTAGCTGTTCTGACTGAAACTGGATAGTCACATACAGCAAAGTAGCAGCTTGCAGGCTGAGAGCTCACATACTGAGAGGCAGGCCTAACATCTTATTATTAAACTAGAAAGACAGCCAACGGCCAACAAAACGTCTCCCAGAAACTGCAGAGAAGCGAAGCAAGGATTATCCTTTCTTGGGCAGACACAGAATTTTCATTCAGTCGAGAAAGATAGATTTTTGTCTCTTATTCTCTGAAATGGAAAGTGCCACATGGACACCACAAACTGGGTAAATTGCATCTCGGAGCAGCATTCTATGTGCCAAGCTGCAAAGCCCTGAATACAAGGGGTGTATTAATGGAAAGACTGATACCATCTTACTACAGTGGCCTCTCTGTAGAAGCAGACAATGATCTGTTGAGGTTTTTCCAGGGATTCTGAATGTACAACCTTCTTACAAGCCCCCTTGGAAGAGGACTGGCTGGGTGCTGAACAATCCCTCTTCGGAAAGCCAGCCAAAAGCCCCTTAAACTAGCTTCTGGCAGGAGGAGAAACTAACTAGGCACTGCAGGTGTAGGGAAGCTCAGACTTCCCAGACAAAGGAGGTAGGTGGGCCAGGGAGAGCTAGATCAGACTCAGCACATCAGGGTCGGGACCAGGTGGGTGAGAAGGGTAAAGGAAGTATACAAGGTGAAGTCACTCACTCCTCAGAGCAAACCACAGGAGAGGTGTGGAGGAAGATAACCAGAAACATGGGCGGGCGCATGCCTTCTAGAGGCTGGGCAGTCCCTGGACTATATAGAGAAGGGGGGTAAGCATCAACTCCCAGCCTCCATTTATTCTGTTGCCAGAAGCAATTTCAGGAACCCAAAGAGGTGGGCAGACAACCATGGGGGCACAGCCAGCCATGCTAGATAGAATTCCCTCCATCCTTTCTTTCCACGAAAGCCGGGATGCCTGGGGAAGGGGATCCTCTTGTTTCCCACAGACGGTTCACAGAACAAGCAAAGGAAGGAACTCTTGAGCCAACTCTGCTAGGGCCTCTCGCACGGGAAGGGGCACTTGGGGAGCCGGCAACCACTGGGCCCCTTCCCACCTCACCCTGGCTGGCTGTGGCCTGGAGCCTCTGAACTTCGAGGACCCCTCTCAGAATCCCATCCTAGACTCAACTTACAGACCTGTGCTACCCACACGCCCATCTAGGAAGCGTCCGTCAACTCCGGCTAGTTCCCAGATCCCACCCGCATGAACTGGCTCCAGTGCCCCTACGACTTTCCAACCTTTCCCCTCGAAGCCTTTCCCAATCCGTGCCTAATCTACCTGCCCTGGTCCCCCAGAGTCCTTGGGAGACTCAACTGCAGCCCCCTCTTTTAACAGCTACCAACCCAATCTCAGCGCC